CTTTCCGGACCACAACGGAATTTATTTCCTAACTAATGTCACCACGAATGAAAATGCATTCTAAAAAGTCTATTGAAGTAAATAGGTGATGTGTCTTCGTGAGTACCAGATGTTCGTACTTATAAATCTGTTCTTTATTTATTTCTTTGTGAGTACCAGATGTCCGTACTTATAAATCTGTTCTTTATTTATCTTTTCTTCTGAGTAGACAGTGTGCTTGACTGAAACCACAGGCCTGGAAGTACTGATGTTTGCTGAAACAGGATTTACGTAGTTATTAGATATGTTACTTGTGACTTGTGGGATTCACATTGGGCGTTATCAGGGATCCCTCCGGCTTTGTTTAAAAATTAAACCGGATTGTCAGTTATTAAGTATTAGTCATGCTTCCATAAATACGACGAGTTATGGTTCTAGAATAAACATCTCTGCTAACTGCGTCGTTGTCTAATGCTAATCCGCTATATGGCCTTGATGATACTTAAATGCTCGCAATTCCACGTGAAAAGCTGATAGTGGCTCAACTTTCTGTTAATATACGTTTTATGTTTGAAAATATCCGCCCTTGGACACAAATTACTTTGAACAAGTTAAATCAAGTGTGGCACATGTAACAATTCTAGAATCGGTGAACGAGTTTTCATTAAAATTTGATGTCGTTGGTAAGCCATCTGTTACAGTCGAACTATTGCTTCATTTACGAAAGTATCTTTGTTGAACGTGTAGAGGAGTGACGTGTACCAATTGTTTCTTATGTGCCATACCATAAAGTCCTTCTTACCTTATTCTTTTAAACACCTTCGTGTATTAGCCATTCGCTGCATCTGTCTGGTACATGAATGTTTCAACATCGCAGCAAAGTCGTACAGTGTGTAACTTCGACTTTAGACGTGAGCCGATCGAATTCTGAGAAAAACAAAAGTTTCGACAAGCATTCCGGATGCCATCTTCAGGACGAATGTGTCATTTGGCTTTGGCTAACATAGTAGCTTAATATTACTGTAGGCGCGTAATGACAGAGAGTTTAGGCTACATTCATTACATCTGTCGTGTCGTCCGGTCTCATTACTTCGGAGGATCATAGTATTTTCCATGACAGTCGCCATATGCAATTTTCGTTTGGTCACGTGTTGTGGCCAACATTCTGACATGTTTATAATTCTTCTGGTTAGATTAGGGAGAATCCTTTAACGGGTTGTTGAGTATTTGAGATATTTCTTGTTCATCTCATGAGATTGATGAACGTTGATCCGTAAGTTAGTTAGTGGGAGCTGTCTGATTAAAATGTAATGTATTCCACAATTCGATAAAATATTAGTATTTGATACCAGCCCAATGAAACCATTAGTGAGAAGTTTCAATAGAAATTCTCTGTTTAAGGTTTACATGCGTCATGTTTGTGTTTTTTGATTAAAATATATAATAAAATTCAGGTCAATACACAAAACAATACTTTATTTAGATGTTAAAATTTAAATGTTAAAATTTAAAATTTTAAATTTGCGCTATTCATCACTATAAGGATGTTACATTTGAGCGCTTTCATTCACTTCACAACATGTTTCGATGTAATACATCATCTTCAGGTGTTGTTTTTTTAAAACTATTTTATATTATAATGCATGTCTTGCAATATATTTATTATTGTAGCATGTGTTAAATAAATATATTGCAAGACATGCATTATAATATAAAATAGTTTTAAAAAAACAACACCTGAAGATGATGTATTACATCGAAACATGTTGTGAAGTGAACGAAAGCGCTCAAATGTAACATCCTTATAGTGATGAATGGCGCAAATTTAAAATTTTAAATTTTAACATTTAAATTTTAAATTTTAACATCTAAATAAAGTATTGTTTTGTGTATTGACCTGAATTTTATTATATATTTTAATTAAAAATTCTCTGGCGAAACACAGCTTCGATATGGGGATTCATTTTCCCCATCAGGAAAGAAGGTTTTTAATATTTTTTAACTTCTTGAAAAAATGTTAAGTTTCATTGCCACCAAGTGCATCGACATGGAGTACGCTAGAATTTATGATAAGTTCAAAATAGTTTCTCCCAAAAAACTGAAGTGGGCACTTCCATCACCAAAACTTGTTTCGAATCGGTATAGATGCCTACTCTGCTAACTTTGTTAGTCGATTTTATAAACGCCCACAATTTAAGGACCTTTTTCGCATAGATTTGAAGCTGATCAAATCGCTTGTCTCAACAACAGAATCTGTTTTACAAGGACAGATCGCTTGATATATTGTGTTGCCGCGGGCTAAATGCTCGGTCCTTAAATGCAAACATACAAATGCACGTTACTAGGGACTCCGCCCCTCTCGCTTACCCCACCGGGGACTCCCATCCTCTATTCCCTCTGCTTCACCTTCAATTCCTTACCCTCATTTTAGGGTTTTAGGGTTGAGAGAATTTCTCAGCTGAAATTGTTAACTCGTCAACGTATGCACACTCTTCACAAGGAATACTCTTATATTATATTATATTATATTATATTCGTGTTTTGTCGTCTTTATTCTATCGTATTAGTAACTATCTAGCGCGCTCACACAAGACATTGAAGTTTATTTTATGTTGACAGAGCCACCGGTAGAATTAGGTACTACGATTATGCTTTGTGTTGCCACAGTCTCACAAAATGTAATATTTTTTATTGTCGTATTGAGAGGTATAATGACATATTTGTCCACTTTTGTGTCGGGTCCACGTGCTTCATTTGTGGATATGTACGAGGTGCGATCGGAAAGTTTCAAGACTGCGCTACACTTATCTCAGGTATTAAACTCATCCATCACCCTCGAAGTAGTTCCCCTGGGAGTGAACACAACGATCCCAGCGCCGTTGCCAAGCCTGGAAGCATCCCTGGAAATCTTTCTTTGTCAGCCTGTCTAGCACCATCTGCGATTCTGCCTGAATCTCTTCTATCGTCTCAAATCTCCTTCCCTTTAGCTGAATTTTCATCTTTGGGAAGAGGAAGAAGTCACACGGAGCTTAGAAACGAAGTTGGGGTCGGTTCTTGCAAGATCTTTGACAGGCTGACAAAGAAAGATTTCCAGGGATGCTTCCAGGCTTGGCAGCGGCGCTGGGATCGTTGTGTTCACTCCCAGGGGAACTACTTCGAGGGTGATGGATGAATTTAATACCTGAGATAAGTGTACGGGTTTTTATACGCGCAGTCTTGAAACTTTCCGATCGCACCTCGTATGTTCATAATCCTGAGGTGGGATAACGGTCCTCTGCGCACGGTGCTCTGCGCATCACTAACGAAACCAAACCTAAGCCAACTATTTCAAATCTTATCAAAACCAAATTATATCCGACAGTTTTAATTTAATAACTAGAGAACGAACGGACGCAGAACAGGTCGGTATTAATACGAACACAGTAAAATACAGTGGTTTGCATTTAAGTATGTCATTCCTTTAAAACAAGTACAAATTGTTATGCATTTGTGACGTCACCTGTGACACGTTTTGCGATTTTGCAATCAAAGGCAGGAACGAAACTTGTGAAGTGTCGCCTTGTGGCTAGTATAAGCATTATCACACCTCGTTTATCACATGCAACTTGAGAATAATTGCTCCTAGTGAGAATAACGTGTTTGACGTAAGTGGCCATGACAGAATTCACTGTCACGAACAGTTCTGCTTTCAGGCATACACTAACCTAATTTTAGAAGTGCACTCATACACTTGTGTTTGTTTAGTCTCGTGCAAATATTCTTTAAACGAATAACGGCACATCGTTCATACACTCCCCCACCCCCCCTCTACAATATTCAAGGCAGGTACTTCGACTTATTTACTTAAATTTTCATCAAATTTACTATTCATGTAGGTAAATTACTCGAATGTCAATATACCTCGTTTAAGTGCCCGCAAAATATGAAACTCACCACACGTACAGAGTTTAATATTTTCTGTACTAAAATATATAATAAAATTCAGGTCAATACACAAAACTTTATTTAGATGTTAAAATTTAAAATTTAAATGTTAAAATTTTAAATTTTAAATTTGCGCCATTCATCACTATAGGGATGTTACAATAGAGCGCTTTCATTCATTTCACAACATGTTTCGATGTA